CAGTGCTGGAGGAGGTCAGGAGAGGGCATCAGATCCTAGATCCCCTGGAACTGGAGTTATGGATCGTTGTTAACGACTATATGGCTGCTAGGGATCAAACCCAGGTCCTCTGCAAGAGCAGTCAGCACTGAGCCATCTCTCCAGTCCCTAAAATATTTTTTAAGTATGTCAGACAATGCTATGCAGCTAGGCAACTCTTTCTCTTAATTATTCTATAAGTGAATTCTGCTGAGATTTTTCACGTTCTGCTGAACATCCTGGTGAACAGTTTTAGGTTTAGAAATTTGTAAAAATACTGATGCCTGAGATAATCGTGCAAATCAATGCACTCAGATCCCTGCCATGGGCATGATCCCTGCCATGGGCATGATGGTTTTTAGTTTGTTTGTATGTTGATTTGTTGCAGTGCTAGGCATGGAATGGTCCTGTTCATGCTAGGAAAGTATTGCATCACTGAGAAACATCCTCAGCCCTTGAGCATTAGAATATTAAAGGTGCACACATGATTCAATTAGTAACAATTTCATCTCCTTTTGTCCAATTTGAATTACACACTTGAAAGTTTGAACTTATTCTGGCTGGAGGCAGCACCATTGGGATGTAATTAGCAGAGGCCAAGGATGCTGCTAATAAAATCTCACAATCTATGCCACAAATATTTGTGTCCAGTCTAAAGTGCTAATACCACCAAGGATGACAAATCCCACTGCAAGGGAAGCAAAGGTATGGTTTTCCATTCTTTACAATTCTTTATATGCAAGTGCCTTGAGCCAAACATCATGCCCCTTAAGGCATAGTTTAAAATATTTGTGTATAGACTGGTATCTTTTTTGGCATAGATTTTTGTCCAATGTTGTTCATATAATGCATTTATTTTCAAAACCCTTGCTTTCATTTCTTTCCATTACTTTGCAAAAAGCAGAATCTCAATTACTCTGTATGAGAACTCCAGAGTTAGGCACATGAGTGTCGTCATTCATAAGTCATTCACTGTGGCACATAAAATGTACACTCATTCACTAATTATACCATTCAATGATCATTTTATGAAACCATGAGAGCAAACCATAAAAATGAGCTGGTAAAGGAAAAGAACCTGAAAGGGAAGAACAGTGGGAAACAGGCCTTAATAAGGGAGATAGGGATAAAAATTGGGTTAGTTTAAGGGAGAGGGGAAGGAAGGGTAATTGAGATACCTAGGGGATAAGGAGAAAGAAGGAGCTCAAGAGAGGTAGGACTGTAGGAGCAAGGGTATTAGTAAGGAAGAAAACAATGCCTAGCTAGTCACGAAAACCAGAGGGAACCATATTATTCCTACAACCTACTGACAAATTACACATAGCAGATCAAGAAATATATGTCTAGGTAAGGTTTATCTGAGAACAATTGGTCTTTGCCCAAGATTTATCTACACAGCACACAGTATTTAAAGTACCAGATGTGGTGGAACTAACCTTCTTGGATGTTTAACAGACATACTTTGAGGCCTATACTAATTTGGTCAGAGGGACATAAAGGACAGTTTTTTCTCCTTGCCCTCCTAGGTTGACTAGTTACAGGATGTGGGAGACAGGCTTGAGCCTAGGGTGAAAGTCCTAATGACAGCCACACAGCAGGCCTGAGGCAACGGCCCAACCACTGGAGCCACAAGAAACGCCTTGTGACATTTGCTTCCATTGGCAGATCATGGGACTGATGCCTAGAGCTTGCCACTCCCTGATCACCACCCTAGAGAGTCTAAGTTGCAACGCATATATATTGCAACAGCCTGGGTCACGTGGTTCCCAGGAATCCAGGCCCCGTACAGAAAACCGGAACCCAAGTAACCTGAAACCTATTATGTTAATAAGGTGTCTGACTCGCGATGTCATGATAGGACAAAGCCCTGCCAAGGATTTGAGTTGTAACTTCTTGATTGGACCTCTACCCCATATAAGCTTGTGCCCTTCTGCAATAAATTGGATCTGCATCACTGAACCTGGTCTCCTGTGTCTGAATGCGGCTC